GTTTAGGGATCCTTCTTTTTCAGGGGGGTTGGACTGGATGATCTCCTGAGGTCCCTTCTGACCCCACCAGTCTGGGATTCTGTGTGTGAATACCTGTGAGGGCTGGTGAGGAAGCTGAGGGAGCATTTCCCCACCTCGGGGCGGGTGCTGCCAGGGTTGGGCTCCCCTGAGCCCTGCTGCAGACCAGCCCCCTCGAACATGGAGCCTGAGGGAGGGTGGTGAGGGGGGAGCCAAGGGGCTCCTGTCCTCCTGGACCCTGACAGCTCCGGCTTTTCCTGCTTCTGCACCAGTGGGTGGCCTGCACCGGTTCCCTGCGGAGAGGAAGGTGGTCAGCAGAGCCTGGGCCAGGAAGGAAGCGGAGTCAAGGCAGCACTATGGAGGGAGAGCAGCTTTCCACCTGGGTGTGACACCTTCCATCATCCGTAAGAGATACAACATGACAGCAGAAGACATTGGGCTGCTGCCCAACAACAGCCAGGCCTGTGCCCAGGTAACTGATAGAGCCAGGACAGGTCAGAGGCTCACAGGACATTGGGATTCCACACATTGGTGCTTCTCCAGCACTTTGCTGCTCTGGTTGTCCCAGGACAGCTGTGGGGATTCCTTCTGAGAGTGCCTGCTGGGCTGGCATTTCCCAGACCCATGCTGGGCCAGCTTTCTAAGTCAGGATAAAAAAACTTACCTTGCTTTTTCAAGAGAAAAACGAGAAAAAAAAACTTGTCCACTCCTTGTCCCCCCAGTTCTTGGAACAGTATTTCCACCAGGCTGACCTGGCTGAGTTCATGAAGCTCTTTGGCAGCAGCTTTGGCCACCGCTCTCAGGTTGACCGAGTGATTGGGCACCAGGGCAAGGGCAAGGCTGGGCTGGAAGCCAGTCTGGACGTGGAATACATCATGAGCACAGGTGCCAACATCTCCACCTGGGTCTTCAGCAATGCAGGTACTGATCCCCCTCCAGAGCTGCCCTCTGGCTGCTCCCATGCATCCCACTTGCATCCCCCCAAGGCTCCTGCCTGCTGTCTGGGAAGCACTTGCTCTCTGGATGGAAATGGCTGTGCTGAGCCTGGCTGGTGTCTGTGGGGGGAACACCCCACACGCTGCCTGTGGGGCAGCCCCAAGGTGCTTCCCAGACACAAGGGCACGAACCTTGAGGGCTTCCAGAGTTGGAGCTGGTGGCTCATAGGGAAATGATCATCCATTGGTTTGTGTAGTTGCTCTTGAACCTGTGTGAGCTCTCAGTGTCCAGAGTGTCCTGTAACAGGCTTCCCTGCCTCAGCTGCACAGCGTAAAGCTGTCACCCCTGTGTGCTGCATCTCCATGGAGTGAGAGCACAGCAGCTGGGTCTTGTTATTCTTTTTCCTGCTTTTTGGGGTTGAAGCTGATCTCTCACCCGTGAAGCTACCAGTAGAGTGGATAAAGGGGAGTGAGACAACTTGAGAAAACAAGGTTGTGAGACAGCCTGCACAACATGGCTGCGGTGCTGTAGGATGAAGTGTCCTCTGTCCCAGTTTGGAAACTGGCTGAACAGGAGACGGGGTGCCCTTGGGCTTTGTGTTCTTGCAGCTGAAGGCAGGCCTGGCTCTGCGGTAAATTCCACCGCCTCCACAGCTGGTGATGTGGAAAGGATGCAGAGGTGGTGGTTATGTGAGAGGAGGTGGTGGGGCTCTGGTCTCCCCACCTCATGGAGAGGGATGAGGGGCAGGAATGGGGTGTGGAATGTCCATCAAACTGTTGCGGGTGGAGGGGCCAACACTTGGCTGTGTCTTGGAAGGGCTGCCTGGATGCCCAGGCTGGCTGCAGCCCTGCAGGAGATGCTCAGAGGAGTGGATGAGTGTGGAGCCCCTGTCCTGGGGTTTAGGGTGACCCTTTCACCAGACCCGCTGGCAGAGCTGGAGCCTGGTGCCATCCACCAGCTGGTGACTGTCCCTGGGGTCGGTTGTGCTGCCAGCAAGAGGTCACAGGAGAGTTCCAAACCAGCTGTGCAGATCTGCTCCCTGTAGGCAGGGCAGGAGCTGAAGGACCATCAGCTCTGGTGCTCCTGGTGCTGTTGAGACGTGGTCCCCTTCTGTGTTGTCCCCCACTTCCCCCCAAGCCTGGTGTCCCAGGAGGAGCTGAACCTTCCCCACCTCTGTCTTTGCAGGGAGACATGAGAGCCAGGAGCCCTTCCTGGCGTGGCTGCTGCTGCTCAGCAACATGTCCTCGCTGCCTTGGGTGCACTCGGTGAGCTACGGGGACGACGAGGACAGCCTGTCCCTGGCCTACATGGAGCGTGTGAACGTGGAGTTCATGAAGGCAGCTGCCCGGGGCTTGACCATCCTGTTTGCTTCAGGTACGCGCCGTGGCTGTCTCGGTGTGGCTGGGGTTGGGGGGGCCCGGCCCCC